ACGCTGCACAAAACTCGTCCTACAAGCCTGTAACATGATAAATCCTTATGCCTGCAGCATTATCATATGCATGGAATAAGAGCAGTACGATAAAGTAATGTTTATATTTACTGTTACATCAGTCAACTGTGCACTACTTTGACAGGCACTGCACAACTTTTCAGACGAACTCGACAACTTCACTCGCAAGATATTGGCATGAAGAAGAATTAATCAAGTGATCGTTATAGATATATGCTGTAAATAATATATTCATATAAAAGAAAGGTATTCTCAGTGATTACAAGCCCTCTATTTTGTTTTAAAAAGTTGTAAGAAAAAACTGAATGCTCAGTTAATAAATAAGTAAATAAAATGATAATAAATTTATGAAAAATGGCTGCAGAGCAGGTAAAAAACACTTTTTTGTCACACCTCCATCGGCAAAACCAGAAGAATTAAAAAGCATGTGAAGTCATAATTTGGAGAGTATTTGTATTCGTATTAAATAAACAATTAATATTTAATGATTAAAACTAAAACCTGTGTGAACTTCTCATGCACAAAGACTAAAACGTCATATTACAAGCACCAAGTCATATTAAATTACAAAACATTATTGAGTCACTGCCACTAGATTGTGGCTGACCCAGGATCAGTTTTTCCAACACCCTGCTGGTTCACCAGGTGTGGTGATGCTAAAGTGTTATGTAAGTGCTTGATCACAATGACACAGAAATATCTGGTAGTCAATTTACAATAATTAGAATAAACGATGTCCTCATTCTTGTGTAGTGTGTGATAGTAAAACACCACAAAGCTGCCAGATGGAGCGATTACAGGTGCGTTTGTTTGCTGTGTTCAAATTAGTATTACATTAGCAGGTAGTCCGGAGTCTGTTCAACACCCAGCTCCTGCTAGACTGCACCAACATCTGCATCACTGCATAAAGCTTTTTCATTAAAACAATACATACATGGATATGTATAAATATAAAGGACAACTTGATGTGCATGAATAGATTTGTAAGGTCTGGGTAATTTTACCTTTGAGCTGTAAAAGTTGCCAGTGCTGCCAGTATTTTTTAAATGTATATTTGCAGCTTTTTTGAGTTTTTACTAAGTTGTTAATGGAACTTGAATATGTTCTTCCATCAGCGCAAGATCCAGTTCAGTGACGTCAGGGTCAAATAGGCTCAGCAGGCAACTAAAGGATTGACAGAGAGTATTTGGAAAAGTGTGACCTGTGAGTGATGATCCTGCAGAACAGGCAGATTTCTTTGTAGGATCCTGAAAACAAAAGCATCACACACAATTCCTGCTATACTTATAAAATGCTTGTGTCTTGTTTTGAGTAAGTATTTTCTAACAAGAGTCAAATTTAAGCATTAAATCCCATCTAAGAAACAAGAGACTCTATATTGTTGTTTTGCTAATTATGCACTCTGCATCCTCAATCAGTGCATCAAAAAACAGCACATACTGCTACTCATGTCTGCACCATGTCAGCATCCAGTTTTGTCCTGAAAAATTATACTATTATTGTTCTCCTTACTGCTTGCAGTTCTGTGCTTGAGATTCAAATGGACGACTGCTTCCAAGCAGGCTAATCGCAGTGGCACATCTATCGATGGGGGCCAATCCCATTAAGCTGTAGAAGGTGTAGCCCCGCTTTGTGCTCAGTACCTTCATCTCTGATCTGTTGACGAGATTACTCGCAGAGCCTCAGAACAACCTGAGAGTAGGAGTGTGCTATGTTACATCACAGTCCAGAAAAGGTGAAATATAATGCAGCTTTGCCTCTCTTTAATTTGCCTGACGGAAACTTTGCCAACATAACAGTTGCAGATCATTTTATTATTATTTTATGGCATAGATGACAAAGTTCTGATTCTTCTTGGTAAATCTGCAGCTTTGGCTTGCAGAGCTCCAAACACAAGCAAACTTGCTAAATAAGCAGGCAACTAACAGGATCAGAGACCTCTGTGAAATTGGCCATGTGCTCTTAAAACCTTGGAAAAATCCGATCGCTCTTCTGATAGGAACGCACTAACATTTCATTTGTAATGAATCGTCTTTACTCTCCTGAGTGTGAAATCCTCAGCAGGATCCATTACAGGAGGTTCCACCCACTGATGAGCTCATGAGGTTGAGTCTACAAGCTTTCTCACAAGCCTGCAAGAAAAATAAGTGAACTCCCACTCATGGCACTGGGAACCGTGTCATGATGCACAAGATGGTATAGTAATCCTCACTGATGAGCAATCACGCAGCAAGCTTTATCTCTATAGAAATTGTAAAAATTCATCTTTTAAGTGTGCTCTATGATATTTTACATAGAGAGATTTTTTTTGCAAACTTGCATGAATAAATAAGGAAAGTCATCTCCTAACTATCACACACACACACAGCTGATCCTATGTAGTTTTTATGGCTCATAGCTTGTGTTTACATTTATTATCTGAATATGTAGATAGTCTATAGTTTTGCCTTGCATATATAGATTTTCTTTACATTTGTTTTGTATTTTTGAGATCAAATTTATTGTAAATATCTAGTGTGTGTCTGCGTTTATGTCGTGTGATGCATTAGCAGCACATGCAGGGCGCATGCTGGGATACTGAGCCTCGCTGTGACATTAAAAACACCCTGATCCAGTTTCTCTGCTTAAACTCATAGCTGTATAGGTGTGTCATTGCAGTATCGATGGAGGCCAGATCAGTGCATAACAGACAGATTAGCAAATGATACAAAAAGACAGCAAAGGCTTTCTCTCTGAGTACTCTTCACAGCATTAGTAAGACACATGGTGTGACCAATAACTTCCCCTAAACTGGACAACTGCATAACAAACTTGGCTTGTAAGGTGGCACCTCGAACAGCTTTGTTTGCCTATAAAACATCATCATGTCTGCTGTGGGCTGTTTTTTCAACATTACAAAAATAATGAAAGAAGAGCTGATACCAACAAGAACAAGTAAATGTTTCAGGAAAGCTTCTTGGGCTCTCATTAGAAAGCTGAATGGGAGCAGGACGTTTCTAAATACGCCACCAAAAAGGACAAAGTGGCTTAGGGATGTGAAGCTAAATGTCCTAAGTGGCTTGTTAGAGCCCTGACTTTAAGCCAAATGAAAGACTGTCTATGTGTGCAAAGCCAGTAGACAGGGATGCCTGCAGTTAAATTTGACTGTACAAAATAATATGAAATTGGGCAACTAATTATGTCTCAATGCAGTTTTTCATTGTTTATTTCTACCCCCTTCCCATCGTGAGCAAAGTGGGCAAATATAGCTGGAAGAAATATATTCTGTGGGTGTTGAGTTCAGTCTGTGTGTGGGAAAAATTATACTTTCAATTTTCGAGTTTCTGTATTAAAAACAGTCTGCTGTTTTTTCTTGCCCTTCGAGCAGTTTCACAGTTTCACCACGGGAGGGCGCTGACGCCAAAGTGCACCTTCCTCCTTTTGCAGGCATCAATTATTGTGCGTCCAGATCAATTCAGGTCTAATTTTATACACTTACAAGTCAAGAAATGTGCATCAAATATTGGCTTGCCACAGAAAGATAAAACTAAGCTGTCTTCCGGCAACATAAAAAGAGGAAATCTTGTGACACCCCTGTTTCAACCAAGGTCTTGATTATTGTCAGCAGTAGTTACACGCTCAGGGATGAAGGAGAAACAGAAAAGACTTCCAGCTGTCAGAGTTTTCCAGCTGTGTTTATAGACAGACCTCATATCCGACTGTGCTTTATAATCAGAAAACGTTCAATCCTATTATTCCAGTACCAATATGAACATTACACATTTGCTGTTTCTGTGTAATGATGTGAATTAAAATATAGTACACTGACGTCATGTAAATCCCTCTTTAATCGTACACAACGATTTTCCTCCCATGTGTTTTTTAGTATAATGCATCAAACTCGTTGTGTTCTTTTTGTCTTTTTCCTTGTTCCCTTGAGCAAGTTGTTTTCCAAGAAAATAATTCACCCCACCTCAGGGTGCTTTGTTACTGCTGTCTCTAATCGCGCCTCGCTGGCTTATAAGAGATGAAAGTTACAATAATCAAGTGATAAAAATAAATGGGGTGATAAATTTTCATACACCAAATGTTTTCCTGGCTCCAGCTTCAGTTAATGAGGATTTGCTGCTTATGTTACAGTAAATCGAATTTATTTGGTGAAAACGAGTCATTGCGAGCCTTACACTGGGATTCAAGCTGTTTGGCGACGTCACCATCATCAGGATATTAAGTGTTAAAGTTTTTATATTATTCTCCTGAATGAAAGTAGGCACTTAAAATTGTTTCACAGCAAAGATATGAACTCTCATTTATTGCTTAACTTAAAACAGTCGTGCTGTGGCAAATCAACAATGGCGCAATTAATCTTTCTCATAATACCCATGTCATGTGCACCTGAAAAAATAGTCTGGGTTAAACTGCAATAGGAGTAGATGAAAAGTGGCCGTTTTCTTTCAGAAATTACATGACAATTCACCTAAAATGAGAGATACCAACATCCTGATAATGATGTAGAAAATGTTAACTCTCACAAGTTAAATTTGGAGTGTTTTACCTAATCCGAGGATCTTTTTGACCTACTTCCTCAAACAATTGAAGGACTGCGCGGAATTCGCGCGTCTCTCTCTCCCTGCAGTCTGCAAATAAGGACATAAATCCGAGCAGAGTTTTTACGGTTATGGTTACAGATGCTCTCCGCGTACCTACACTAAGTGTAATAAGTATTTGTATTTTTTGTGCAAAGAAAAGAAAAACCCCAGTATTCATCATAATAATGAGTGTTTAATTCATTACTTGGTAACTGTTCAGTCTCTGCCCTAAATTGCAGAGACTGCGAAGATAACAGGCGGTTTGCAAAAACAGAGCGAGTAGAATTGACTTTTACTACTTCAGTTTTGCTATAACCACAACTTTTCTCCTCGCTTGCTTGCCCACATTTAGATTTGTGGTTGCTATGGCAACAGCAGGACTGCGCAATAGTGCTGAGCGTTGTTGTACTCAGTGTGCATGTCAATGCGTGTCTGCGCATGGCGTGCTGGGGGTGGGCCTCTCCATCACAACCCCATCCTCCATCAGTGCTGCAGCTCACGGGAGTCTTTCTGAGGGGGCGGGGACTGTTCCGATGCAGAGGGATGCTCCGCAGCCCCACGCTGGACCAACCAGTCTGGAAATCCCTGCTCACATCCACACAGCACGCGCATATACACACACACGAACACGCTGACTGGCTCCGACTCCCTCAAACTCCCAGCATCTGTGCTCCATCCTTCGTCTCCTCTCCTGTCTGTCCCCGGTCTCCTCTCTTGTCCTCTCTCACTGTGTCCCTTATCGCCGCTCCGTCAGCCGCAGCTCTGACTCACTCAGATCTTCTTTTCCCAATTTGAGCCAGCGAGACCCGGGAACATGTCCTCCAACCTGACCTCCGGGAACTCAGCCGGGGGCACAGGGGCCAAAAACAAGCCCTTGTCTCCCTTCAGGAAGAGGGGAAGCCTGCAGTACACGGCCAGCACAGGTGAGTGGTGGCAGACTGGAACTGCAGAGGGAGGACGGTTTGAGCATCCTGATCTTGTAACAGAAGGAGGAATAATATGATCTGAAGCCAGGGGGATTAGCCCTGTACTGTGTATATTTAGGTGAAATTAGATTATTCTATTTTAGAAAACAAGAAAAAAACTCATGAAAGAAGAATCTTTGGTAATTACTTTTTCCTCTTAAGTAGTTGGGAAATGCAAACCTGTTGATTAGAGCAGTGCGGCAGAGGATGCTTTGGATGCTCTGCGGGGGATTTTGCCTTCATAACCAGCAGTTTAATGTCAGCATTCTGGCTTCTAGTTTTGCCCTTCAACTCTTATTTTCCAGCTTCATTTTAGAACACACACAACATGCATCAGCTGGATCATCCAAAGTAGATTTACAGTATGACCGGCTGCTGCTGTATGGATCAAATTTGATGTTGCATAACTTGTTGTTGTTAGGTGAAAACTGATGTTTTGCCTGTTTTAGCCTAAAGGGTTACAAGCTGTTTGGCAGGTTGGAAGTGCTTTATATTGTTGCATGCTTTTGAAACATATTGCATGCAGTGAAAAAAAATATTTTAGTCCCTGTGCAGCATGTATAATTAGTCTTCTCCTTTAAGAAACGGGATAGGATGCTTAGATAAACAGCAACAGCGGTGTTTTTCACTCAGCCCCATGGTGGTATGTAGCCTGCAGAGAATATGTAGGTTGGTACCTCAGCACTTGATCCCCCACTGAATGAGAGGATTAGCCTCCCTTCTGATGTATGCACACGCTGGTCAGGCTTTCACTGAAACTACAAAGAGTATACAATGACCAAAAGGTCAAATAGCAGCTATTTCTGTTCATTACTCTTCTTTGAAATGCAAAATGTTTTCATTCAGTTACAGTTACGTCATGCAAATGGTGATATAATGAAAGATCATACTTAGATCTTATGATTTGTTTATAAGGAATCAAACACCTCGGTGTCATTCAGAACTATTGTCAGTCTTTGTTGGTCATCTGTTTTTCAGAGGGAAAGAAAAATACGCAAATATTAAATCATTTCACCCCACTGCAGGTTTTTGATTCAAGAAAATGAACTGAGCCATATTTCAATAGAAGAAGACACCCGAGTCTCGATGTTATTTCATTTGGAGGAAGTAATATAGTCGTTCCTCACTGGAATACATTTGAGAGTTTGGTATGACATAATGCACCCACAACATGTTCTTAAAAAAATATACTGCGTCTTTAAAAAAAGCTCCTTCAGATAGGTCATGTCACCACTGGGGATAGACAGCAGCATGCTATGACGTTACGATGATTGGCGAGGTAGTTAGGGATTGATTATCAACCCTGACAATAAATGCCACTGCAGGAGGTCTGAGGGATTTGTCAGCCCCCCTCCCTTCCAGTCGAAATGCTCCCTGTAATTATCCTCATTTGCTGCTCCAAAATTGCCTTCTTGTTGGAAGAAATCATTGAAGAGAAGCAGCACTGGCAGAAACAGGAAGCGCAGGCTGTCTCTGCCCAACACAGATTCAGTACTGAAGCCTCCGGGGTTTGATTTAGAAAGTCTCCACAGAGGCGCATTAGGACAACATCACATTTTATGTTGTTAAAGCATCCAGGGAACCTTCTGAGTAAGCAAATATGACATTTAAGTGACTCATTTTTTTTTGTTTTTTCAAAAGGACGCCCTCTAGTTCACACCACTACAGTACACTGCAGTCTCTATAAGATGGAGTAAAAATAAAAAGGTTGCAGGTTAGCGAGAGTGTGACTATATTAGATGTTCTATTTGAAGAATTACTAAGGTTTTTAATAAGGCTGCAGCTGCTTATTAGAGATCATAAATTCAAGATTGTGTGCTCGCTGCTCTGCTGAATGGCTGTTTAAGCTGATACTCCCCATGCTGGAAGAGCTTTTATCTTATTAAATCCAGCAGAGCAGAATAAACAGAACTAAACGAATCTCTCACAGCTTAAATTTCTTCAGGGGTTGTAAAACCTCTGTACACATAATACCCTGTACCATGTCCATCAGGCAGAAAGGCTGTGGTGTAGCATATGCTGTGCAGTGAAACTCTTCAAAAATGTGCAGGATTCGTGGAGCGAACCTCGGCAGAGAGAGAAGCAGTAGGTGAATCACTTGTGTGGCTGTGAAAGAGCCAGTGCCGATATTAGACCGACACCCACTCACCAGTTTGGCTAGTCCGTGCTGTGCGCTGCGTTCCACTTGTTGAACCACTTAAAACAGTGCAAATAACATGTAGCGGTGGATGTTTATTCACAGATTCGCAATAATTGATTAGCTATCGTTATCTTCAATACAGCAGCTGTCATATAAACGCAGTGAAGGGTCAGAGTTAGGGCTGGAAAAGGGATTCTGGCACTTTGGAAAGGCAGAGCAGCATAAAAACAATAAATATCAAACACAATTTCAAGTATTACAAAATTCGAATTGGTCGTTCATACAGTAATGGATCTTTGACACACTGTACTTCGCCCACATCTCGATCACACCTCCTTCGGATGTGCCACGCCTTGTCATCATTGCATCTCACATAAGTCAGTGTCTGTGTCATAAACTGCTACAGTAATGACCCGACAGAGATCCTGTAACGATGGTGCTCACCCCAACACACCTTCAGCTGATAACCTTCAGTCAGTCACTCCTTATGTCCATCCTCAGTCTGTGCTGCAGGTTAGCTGTTGGTATATCTCTTACTTACATGAACCAACTTATCTGGCCCCATACAGGTCTCATGGACTTGTGCCCTAAGGGTGGGACCATCGTTTCAAAGGATATTTGCATGTACTTAATAATGTGGTGCTACAAGGTGTATACTGCAGAGTCCTCTGATGTCATCTGCTGTTTGCAGCACATTGATCTGTGGAGAGTTGTCTTGTTTGAAAGGTACGGTGCCGGCTACTGCAGATATTTTCTTCAATAGAAAGACTAGAAAGCATCTAGTTGCTAAAATATTGTTAATATTTTCAGTGGTTTGTGTGACACATTTAGAGGAATCTTTGTGTATTTTAAGTATTTCCTTTTAATACGGCTTTCTACTAGAGCAGCAGTGATAAGTGAGTAATTAGCAGTAATTACGGTGCTTAATAATCTTTTCTGTAAGGAAATAGTCCTAACGTAAAAACTTCAACATGGAAAGCAAAAATATTTTCTTGATTCTGAAAATATCCAGATCAGCTGAGTATATCTGGATTTGAACTGTTGGGATTTTCATGCCAATCATGTCAAAATAACCCTCGCAAATCATCGGTTTAATTCATGATTGAAGAATGAATGACAACACATCTTTATATAAAAATATGAGGCTTTGCTATGATTGAAAATGGTGATTAGATAATTGTTACAATGTGTCATTTAATCTAGATTAATCTGTAATGAAATGTATAATTATCAAAGCATATTAACAATCAGAGAGGTACTGATGTTTTTTTTCCATATTGATCCTCGGTGCTAGTTTTTGTAGAATGACACGTTTCAGGGCTTTGATTAATCAGTGTGTGACTCTGTGTTCGACCATCAGAGGGAGCCTGGTCTGAAGAAAGTGTTGTTTCTCCGAGGCCTCAACAATTTGATTAGACCTCTTGAAAGCAATTTGGAATCTGAGTGCCTTGAAAAAAGAAACGCATCCCTTTATTTTGAGAGGCAGAGTGATAATCTGCTGGTAGTTATATGGACTTTTCAGTGCTCTACTTTGTTTGACGGCATCATGTTTGAGTCTGGAGCTTGAAAAGAGGATACTTTTGTTGCAGTATGGTGTAATGATGGCCAGAGTGCTTTTGATCAGTAATTTGTTGTAGTCCAGTACAGTTGCACAGAAAAAACTCTATGCAAATTACCTGCATCAGCAGCATCACATGTAATTTGTTATGAAGAAATTCTGACTGGCCCTGCGACCGGCTGGCGACCTGTCCATGGTGTACCCCGCCCCTCACCTTATGGTACCTGGGACTGTTCCAAGAATGTCTTATTTTTCTCCACAGGTAGCTACGGTTTATTCTTCACATATGTTCCTGCTGCTAAAGTAAAGAAACGCACAATTTACTTCATTTCAGTCACATTTTCTGAACTCTTTTCTGAAGTTCAGAAAATGTGAGCTATTATTTCATTTGTTCTTTTTTAGATGTTGAATCTGTTCCAAGCGAGAATAATGGCTCCTGTATCATTTGTAATAAAAAGACAGCATAGAAAAAGAGTCTAAGATAGGGACTGAAAAGGTAGGAATTTCTTTTACTCAGCTCTGAGTTTAGATAAACTGAGCTGAATAATATTGAGCAAGAGAAGATAAGATGTTTGACGCAAGCGCTCACTTTTTAACATGATACAGATTCAAGTTGCAAGCCACATAGTGTTTTGTTTATGAGCCTTAATTGTGTTTCAGACACAAAAACAAAACAAAAAAAACCAAAAACTTACAGACCTTTACATAGTTTTCAGTGCTAGAAGTTGTATTTTCCTTTCCTACAAGGAGTAGTAGTTTTTTCTTTAATTCAAACTACAAGGGGGGAAAACTGGCTTGATTTCCTGAGAACCATTGCTGGTTATTTAGCAGACAAAAAGAGGAATAGTTCAAAATAACCAACACCATGGCCAAAAAACACTGATCCGAATTCCCAGAGTTACAAAGCATCGTCTTCATCCTCAGTAAGAGTTGTTTGTTTCTTTTAAACTTTTTCTTTTTTAAAAATTTTAATCTTTTTTTTAAAGCGTTTTTAAAAGAAATTTTGTGCATTTTTTAAAATTATATATATATATATATATATATATGTATGTATAAATAAACTGGGACATTCACCACCTTCACTGCATTTTCACCACATTTTTGAGATCCACATTGTTGCTTCTGTTATCCAGCGCAAATTTACATTTATTACAAAAGTATATCAAAAAAAGTAAAGAGCTTATTCAATGGAGGGTTTTGCAAATGTTTAATATTTTGAAATCAGGCTGTAGAAATGCGGGTCATTGTGTTACTGAAGAA